TTTTAAGTATTTGCGGTTTACTTTGTATTTTACAGATATTTAATTTTTCGATTTGCTTTGTTTCGAAAAATTACGGATAATATTTGTGAAACATTTACGGATATTACGGATATTTCATCCACTTTGTTCAATATAAATATTTTTTTTAAAAAAAACTATACAAGTTTGTTTCCAAAAATATATTTTACATAACAAAGATTAGTGAAATTATATGACTCACAAATTTTTAAAATTAGTTAATTTTAAATAAAACATAAAAGTTTAAGAAAATTATAGTTTTATAAAGATTTTATCTTCCATTCTTAAGTTAATACTTTTATATGTAATTTTATAAATATAATTAATTAAATAATATATTAAAATAATAATTATATCAATTATGCATTTAAATTTCTATATTTAATTGTATATATACACTTATTTTTATAAAATTTGGAAAGGATCAAATATCCGATTCTAATTTATTTATTTGTGATTTACTTCGTTTTTAATGGATATTGAATTTTAATATTTACTTTTCTTCGAAAATTTACAGATATCCAGAATTTTCAAATCAAAATAGTCGATTCAAACTTTATGGATAAAATGTCCAACCCTAAAGAAACTGTTAAGAATATTTCAAACACCCAAAAAATGATAAAACATAATTGTTTCATTAATTTTTTGTAAGGAAACAAATCATAATTGCTTAGCGTAGGAAATAAACTAAAACTACATAACCAAAGGCACCACATCTATCTATTTATACAAACAAAAGTTTGCCTCCCTCTAGCTCATCCACGTCAGATAATAGTATTAGGAAAAAGCTACACGTGTCTCTTAGATCGTCCGCTGCGTTTTTATTTCATGCACACCAAACATCATTCACTGGGCTTGAATAATTCCATAGCCCAATAGCATAAGCCCCTTTTTTATTTTTATTTTGGTAGGGTTTCCTCTCTTCTCCCAACTATGACACCAAGCAATGATAATCTGCGTTGTCAATCACCTTCAATGACGTTTCTACAGATTGTCTGACTCAAATCAAAATCAAGAATCTTTTTGTTCGCTTGCAGTCGCGTCTATTTGTCTTCTCTTTTAGTAATCCTAAACGCTCCACGTTACTGACTCAATAACTTCTTAACTCCATAGATTGTCGTGAAGCACGATCTCACATTAAATGAGAGTTATCCCTCTGAAAGGCGGTGTATCCACGACTATATAAAGGTCAGCCTTCTTCACTTCCATATCATCCTCTCATTCCAGTGAAACCACCAAAATTTATTTATTTTCTGTGAAATTGACTTCTGATTTGAAATCCGGCCATTGTTTCTTCCAACGTGGAGGTGAGGTCGCTCAGATTATGGGAAGCTAGGAAATTCAAACGCAGTGGTCTTTTCAGCTAGCATTACTCGCCTCCACAGCTTAAACAAGAGAGTCTGATCGCTTCAAGTTTGTATGTTTACTATTCTTTAAGATATGAGATGACTGTGATCTTGCTGATATTCTCACTGGTATTTGTTTTAAGTTTATTATATTGACTCAACATGTAATTCATGAGTGTGTTTAATTTATACCTCATCTGTTATCAGTTTTCATCAGAAGAATAGTCTAAGAAGCAATGAGGAACATTCTTCTCCGACAAAAAAACTTTGAAAAAAAAAGAGTCCAATCTCCGATACGAGGCCGTGTTTTAATTTTGCAGTCATGGCCTGATTTATATGTTTTAGATGTAAAACTTTCTGTGGTATTTTGTTTAAATTTTTGTCATTAAGTTTATTTTTTTAATCTTATTTTCCATTTGTAAATGCTTTCCCGTAAATTGGTTTGGTGGACAACACCACTTTGTTCTTTTGGTCAATTTTGATTAAATTTACTCTCTATTTAATTAAGTATACATAAATGGTTCAGTTTGGCATGAAAAATAGAAAATTTAAAATATCGGTCAAGCTAATATTTTTTGTGTATAATATAAACCGAGATTTCTTACTACAATATTCTAATTTCAATTCCAATCCAAACAAAAGTTTAATATTTATTCAAATATACAATATTTGAATCTACAATATTTTTTATTTTCTAATTTTAGTTGAAATTATTTATTTTCTTCAAAGAAACTTTTTCAATAATATAAATATATTTCCTTATTCTAATTATATTATAATTTGTATCTAAATTATAATATCAAACAAAATTATTGTTTATTTACTCTCTAATATGTAACTATTTATTATATATGTATATAAATGAGATAACCCTTTCCCACATTGAAATATTTCAAGCACAATAATAAATATAAACCCGACGTTACGCGTCTGACAACCCTAATTGTTTAAAATGTGTAATACACAATCAGTTAAAATTTAAAATAATTCTGTAATTGTTTAACTACTTATATTTTTATAAAAAAATGTAACATTTATCAATAAAATAAACCTACTAAATGTATAATCAAAATCAAAATTTAATTAAAAATCCCGGGCGTAGCCCGGGTCGGCCCTAGTTGTTAATATACAATCGTCAAGGCAACCAAAACAAATACATCATAAATGTTTCAAATAAACCAAACAGTCTTAAGAAAATGCTTTTGTCAATAGCACAAATAGTAAAAAGTTAGTGATATAACAAGCGTTAGAGCACCTCCAATGGAGATTCTTCCCATTAAATTTTTAAAATATGTATTATGTATATATATATATGTATAAATATTTGTGGAATCCTATAGAAGAATTCCCTTTGGGTGGTTTTAGGATCACAAACGAAAGGTCCAAAAAAATTGAATCAATTAGTAGTTATGTATCTCTTTGTTTTCTAACTTTTAAGGATATACAAAACTAACTTATGCAATTCACTATGATTCATTTAAACGTTAGATATTCTTTGACTATGTCGAAGTGAAATAAAATAATAAGAATACATATATAAATATATATTACATTTTCTGAATTATTTTTGCTAATTTTATATTCTCTGAAAATAGAGAATAATGAAGGTTACTGTCCTTTTAATTCAAACTAAAAATGTTTAGTACAATCTCAGACTATTTATTATTTGTTTGTTCAATTTATAATGATTTAATGCTTCATAAAATTAAATAAATAAATATACAATAGTTTTTACTATAACTTTCCGTCCGTAGGGCGGACCAAAACCCCTAAATGAGTGCATGCTTATCAAAGATTGAATGGTTCTGTCCAATTTAAGTTTCTATTTTTTTTCTCAGTTTAGTTTCCTTTCAGTTTGCATCTTTCAGAGTTCTTTCCCTTTCCAAACATTTTATCTATATAATTTCACCATTTATGAATGGTAATTGCTTATTGTTATGATTTTCAAACCACCCTTGCGCCTCTGATATGTGTTAATTACTCCTCTTTAATTATTTAGGAACTGATATCATATAATCCTTACTGCACCTATGAATTGTTAAAATTTGTTAGTTTTTAAATATTACATATATTACATTGTTCATTACTGATATCATATAATTCTGTTAGACTCAACCAAAATTCAGTTCCTTACAACTATTTTCCTTAAAAAGAATAATATTGTTATTGGAATGATTATTTATTTTCAACTTTATAAAGGAGGAGTTTAAATGCATATATATACTACTAATGCATCACGCCTTTTGTGACAATTGGTTACAAAAAAAATAAACTCTAACTATTTCATAGAACATTATACAGCTTATGCCTACAAGCTTATATATTTTTTGATATTGAATTTCAATAGTTCGGAAATTGTATTCCCCAAAACCATCACATCAAATAAAATTCAAATTCAAATAACTGAAATAAATTAGTTACCTATAAAAGCTATATACAAAAGTAAAAACTATAAAATAAGATAAAAAAATTTAAACTCATTAAGATGGAACTGTTGGTGCTGACAAAAGAAAAAAAGATGGAACTGTTGGTGAACAAAACATTTAAATAAGCAACTAGTCTGAACGAAACAAGAATCAAGTATGTATTGTTAGGGTTAGATTTTGAAAAACTTAATATTTTTTGAAAAAAATAAATTTTTACCTATATATTTATATATATAGTAACACTTTTAAAATTTTATTTGATTTTAGGAAATATTTATTTCTATTTAATTATTTGTCTTTAAGATATATATTTAAGGTGTAGACAACTTCTATGAAATCTTCGACGACTTACATGATATCTTCTTGTGAGAAGGCTTTTTTAAGTTGTCTAGAAGATTTCCTAGAAGTCATATGTACCATATCTAATATTTCTGTCTAAAATTTTAAGAAATTTTTATATTCCTGCTTAAATATTATTTTACTTAAGAAATTAAAGAATAAATTTGAAATTTTACATAATAATCTAAAATTCAAGAACTGAAGTGGACAACTGATAAAAAGAAGAAAGCAAGTCCCAGGAAGATAGGGCTGGGACTTTTATCCGGGATCCGGACTCGATCCGAGATCCGCTCCGAAATTAGGATATCCGGGGGTGCCCGATCCAAATCCAGATAGTAAAATTTCGGATCCGTGCAAACCAAATCCGAATCCGGATATCTTAATTTTTAGGTCTGAATATCCGAATTCGGATCCGTATTTAAAAAATATATTAAATTTTTTATTTTATTATTAATTATATCTGATATATTAATATTTATACATAAAAGAAGTTTAATAATATTCTAATTTTATATTAATAATATTATATGTCATATATATATTCATAAATTATGCTTAAATATTTAGTTTATGTATTATTTTTAGAATTTTTGATTTTTTTTAACTTTTTAATTATTTTTACGGATCCGAATCCAAATCCGTATACCTGCGGATATCACAATATCTAGACGGATATCCGGAAGACACGAATCCGAACTCGGATACAAAAATCACGGATTCAACGAATCCGGATCCAGATACTTCAAATTTTCCGGATATTCGGATCCGTCCCACCCCTACAGGAAGATGACCGTCTCACTCTCACCCATTACATTTATTCTAATGCAAAAAAATATTTCAAACAAAAATACATTGTAGAAAAAACTAGTGGTCAAGTTTCCAAGTAGATGACACTCTCACTCTCACTCATCAACCTCAAGTCATAGTAGCATTCTTTGTCAAACCAATGGTGTGGTATTCCTTTGATTTCAACCTTCCTCAAGTCATTGTTTTGCAAATCATAACACAAAATATAGAATCCAGAATGCATCTCAAAGGGTGCCAAGATAGCTTTGCCGTCTTGAGTTGTGCCTTTTAAAATCAACTCAGTGTCCTGGACTAAATGCCTCTGACAAGGCTGCAAAACCAGACTCATCTTGGACCATTCCTTTTTCTCAGCATTTTCCAATACCCATAATACCACCCTACCCTCAATTTGTAGGTTGGTATGTTGGAAAATAGCTACTTTCCCACCATACTCTATAAGATCTGCCTTCATCTTAAGTGCAGGAACGGACATCATCTCCCTGACATTATCAGGTGCAGTGATGGTGGTTAACTCTTCAGACCTAAAGTCGAAACTCACAATCGCACAAGTGTACATATCATGCCACGCCAGATAATGTACTACTGATCCAATCCTTATATACTGTCCTCGTGCGAAAGGGGTATGAGGACGATCATTCTCATGTGAAACAACCTTTTTCCAAGAACCTCCAGCTTCTAGCACAAACACCCAGTGCTCTGATTTCAGGTTAAACAAACGGTCGCAGTACATAACAACTGTGCATAATAGTTTGTGTTTATTATCAACAGGGTCGTATCCGATATAGTGCCGCCTAATATACATAGTTTGACCTTGTTCGGCTCTTATGTCGTGCTTTATCATGGGTAAGGTCAAGCATTGTCCGGCGCTAGGGTTGTATATACAAGCCTGTCTTCTCACTGTGTAACAAATCAAGCCGTGGGAAACATTCAAGAAGTAGCCTCCCATCCCTGGGATGCTCAAATCTTGGTCGACCACAAAACAAGTGTTGTCTTGAGACGTTGATGACATGGACAGCAGTGCACTTTGCTCGTAGTCATCCACCAAACACATGTATAGATGTGGTGGTTGTTGTTTTCGTTGCCTGGTCGTATATAAACGCTCGCAAAAATATTGAGATGAGATGAGGCATAACCACTGCTTTGAGATGCACTTAAACCTAGCCAAGTTTTTTCCCGGCAGTCTTATAAGGATTTCGACCAAAAGATCGAGAGGGATCTCGGGCATATATCTTCTTCTTGTTCTTCTTCTTCTTCTTCTTATAGGTAGACCCAAAAAACAGCCCATGACCAACAAGTTATAAGCGCGATTTGATCTTCTTTTCTTCCGTTTAAACAATGTTGATGAGTTATCTCTTTTTGCATCCCTTATCTTAAAAAAGAAACAGTAGTTGAGAACAAATCAATTGGAAACTCTATGAATTAACTCAAAATGATTATCATTACATCACGTAAACGAACTAATCCGACCAATCCACAGAACAAAAACAAAAGAAATACCTCAATTTGATTGGAAGAGACGACCTGGGCAATACTCTGACATTGCTTAAGCTTGAAATCCTGCTCCGATGCCACTTGTTTCAGAGTCCCTCTTCCTCTGCTCATCTCTAAAACTCCAGAAAATCGAGATTGGTGTTTGGTCAAAAAGAAAAACTAACTTGTACGTAGCCAAAACCTTTTAGGTTTAAGTACAAACACAATGTCATAATAATATTAATAAATATGAATAGAGAAAAATATGCTAAGAATACATAAATGAAAAAGGAAAAAGAAAAACATGTAATTAACTCTAATATCAAATATTACAAAGATAGGCCTAAAATACTCCTCCATCGGACAATTTTTAATAATATTTTAAGTTGGATATAAGGTGATATATATGTGTTTAATATTAATTTGTGATTACAAGTTTAGAATTTATCTTCATATTCTGTGTAATCGAACTTATTTATTACTGTATAAAGTATTTGTTCAATAAATTTATCTAAAGAATTTTTCATGTAATAATGTCAGCAAGAATTGAATATAAACATAAGTAACAAAGCATAGGATATTTTAATTGACTTTAAAACAACAAAAATTTCACAAATACTATTAAAAATGCTGTGAAGATTGGAACCATTAGAACTAGTATCATCTCCAGATATTATGATCTTCAAATAGACTATTAGATTTTGTATTCCTTCTATCCTCAAAGCATCATTCGAGGAGTTGAGGATATTCTTTCGATAGTGTGCATTCTTAGACAAAATGCCAGAAGAAATTTTTCTTCGTTTGGAAAGATAAAGCATAATCTTAGCATATATGTTGTTGCATAGTTACCAATGGTTGCCATAGATGGCATATTCAAACTCAGTCAGCATACATATGGAGAGAATCTCAAGAGAGGAAGATGAAAAGATAGCAAAGCTGATGGTATGAGAAGAACAAGAGCGAGAGAGACTAAGAAAGATTTATAAGCTGAGTCGTTAAAAGTTAGAAGAAACCTCTGATTTATTTGCTGGTCAAGATCTCCTTCATTCACTCAATTGGGGACCTGAATATAGAGAGGTGAGTCTCCCCTGAACATGTGTCAAGTAGCCCTTCATACATCACTGCAAGTAGTTCTAAGAACATCAAGAAACAGATAGGGGAAATCTTAAAGGTTACAAATGTAATAGCAAATTTATCAGCTGACTTAATACTCAGCCACCATGAAGTAAAAAAGATAAGAAAGCTATGTTTATTTGATATATGAACCTTAGCTCAGGTCTGATATTCACTTTAACGTCTATTATATCTCTGTCACTCAAATGCTAGCAATAGTTGTCAGAGAGAAGTTGAATTCGACAAATGATGCAACATTGTTATGAAAAGCTTGTCACACAAATTGTCGGTTCTATGCCTTTCTTCATCCAGCAGAATGAAAGAAAAACACTTGAAATGTAATCATTAAAGAAAACAGAGTATGATCTGAAGATAATAACTGAATTTGCCATGACTGAACTTTGTTTCATCGAAAGTCACAGAATAGATGAATCAATGATGGGTTCTCTCTTCATCATCGGGCCTTATATACAGAGTTCCACCGAATAAAAGAGATGATCGTGGTGAAGAATTAAATACCACAGAGTATCACTAATTGAACGTAAGCCATTATTGATGCAACTTGTGAGTTACGCACTGTTGGTTGTACGACAGAGGAGCTGAGGCGACAAACAATATTCATCGTATTGTGTTAAATAAATAAATTAATTAATTATTTATTCTAACTTCTCTAGTAAGCCAAGTGTGTTTGGTTACTAGAATAAGAATGTTCTCCCTCTTTATAACTCATTGTAACGTTATTTTTCAGATCTAAGAAAAAAGTTTCTCTTTCTTTATTCTTTTCTCTCTTCTCTCTCTTGTTCTTCAATCTCAAAGCTTCACTTTCTTACATGGTATCAGAGCAATAAGCTCTTGTGTACCTATTTTGCTTCCGCGATTTAATTCTAATATTCTCTTCTATTTGATTTATCAATCTACTCCTTCTATTTTCTTTCCAGATCTACTTTATTTTGTGGATAAGAAATCTGTGTTCTTGAGTTGTAAAATTTCAGTGACTGTTTTTCCTTGACTTCTTTGTGTAACCAGTGGGTAATAGTCTCTGAAGATGAATCAATTCATACAAGTCAAGATTCATGTTGTTCTCAAGGGAGGAGAAAACTACATCACTTGGTCTAGATTGGCCAAAACAGCCCTTGGAGGAAGAGGTCTTTGGGAGCATATCACCTCAAGTTCAGCACCAAGGAAAATCACCCAAGGAGAAGATGGTAAGGAGATTGTAGCGGTAGATGAAGGCAAATGGGATCAGGAAGATTTCATGGTGCTGTCTATCTTGCAAAGCTCTCTTGATGGTCCCATCATGGACTCTTACTCACAATGTGAAACTCCAAAACAGTTGTGGGATACCTTGAAAAAGGTGTATGGCAATACTTCAAATCTGACCAGAATCTTTGAAGTTAAGAGAGCCATCAACAATTTGCAGCAAGAGGAAAGTGACTTCACCAAGCATCTTGGGAAGTATAGTCAGCTATGGTCGGAATTGGAAATGCTAAGGCCAAACACTAATGATCCCAACACTCTTGAGGAGAGGCGTGAGCAAGACAAGGTCTTTGGTCTTCTTCTCACACTCAATTCAAACTTCAGTGATGTGGTTAAACACATATTGAGAGCTAAGGAGCTCCAAAGTTATGATGATGTGTGTGCACAACTTCAAAAGGAGATTGGCTCAGATGGTCTCTTTGGGAGGAAAGAAGAGCTGTCTATGGCAAACAAGGCTGAGAAGGTGGAAAGTGCAGCAGCTAATAAAGCTCATTTCAAACCAAGGGGAGGAGGAGACAAACATGTGGCGTGTGAGCATTGCAAGAAGTTGGGACACTCCAAAACCAACTGCTGGATCCTCCACCCGCACCTCAAACCAGCCAAGTTCAACCAGGCCAAAGCACATGAAGCAAGAGCTCATGAGTACACTGGTGGCTCCACCTCTCAAGCTATGTCTCAGCCATCTTCTAATGATGCATTCATCCGCAAGTCAGACATTGAGGCCCTGATAAAGGCTCTTAATGCGAACTC